AGAGAGATTCCGACAAAATTCATTTATCGCGTAATTATTGATGTTGTAGCTCAATAGTAGTTGTACGAGATCATGATGAAAGGTATGACGTTAAAGGGATATTTGGACGAGTTTTCAGTAGTGCGCAAGTACGTAGAAAACTGTCTACAGTAAGCCTCAAATGTCAAAAGTCGACTTTCTTTGTCGCCCTCGATAACTAGCTGTCACTAGATAGGGTATAGAATAAAGCCAGTCTTTGAGCCTTTGGTAGCCCTATCCAAGCCATATTTCGACCCGATAACGGCCCATTTCCTACCCCTGAAAGCCGCAAATTATTTCAGATAGGGAACTTCAGGACCCTCTCTTATCGTAAATCGTACCTTCTGAATCAGTAATCATTTTTCAGCCCAAGACATTTTAAAGAGTTCCTGAAGAACGCCTTAACCACTATACAACTTTGAAGGTCCCACCGAAGGGAACAGGATTGCCATTGTGGAGAAATCTTAAACATACTCTCACCGTTGTGGGCACACTGGGCCCACAACGGCCCGGAATGGTGCCCAGCTAAGTTACTGAAACATACGGTAGCTGAGTAAATAATCGCTGACCATGAACAGACAAAAATAGGGGCGGTGAATAGAGTTCTACTCACTTATCCACTTGATGACGTTGTATCCTGTGTGTTCACTCTTAACGCCGAACATTGCAAAGGATAAAAGCACTGACATGAACATCGGCAAGCCACCGGAAGCGATTGTATAGGCTGCACGTGCTTCCAAGTCGAATGCGGGGGCCCCCGGAAGCTTTTGACCTTTATGCTTTTAATATAATGCCTTAGAAAAGCGGTCGTCATACGTCCTTCAAGAACTACAATCACCTAGAATCATTGTCATCCGCCATGGCCCTTCTGATAACCCTATCTGAGCACGAGCAAGGAAAAGGGACTGGGAAGGCGATCGAGAAGTGATTCGAGCAGCGAGGAGCAGCTTTTCTTGCACACTCCGAAATGACATGTTTCATGCTTTTTAAGCGAGAGCGTCCTCTGGTTTGATGGCTTCCTACAGTGATATAGGGACTTACTGTCGCAATGTTCAAGGATAGGATGAGAAGATAAGTGACCGTGAATGACTGATCTAACATTTCCAGAGGGGAAACATTGAAGATCATCAAAGTAATGGACCAAAGCACTTAGTGAAGTCGGTGATTCAACAATATGCTCAAAACACCGTATAGAAATAAATCAATACACATGTCGTTGTATGTCACGGGAGATGTCCGGCGTTGGCATCACCTACCGCCGCTTCGTAATGACGTCTTCGGCAGGTGCTGAAGATACTCTACGGTCCACTACTAAAGACTTAGGGGGTAGTCATCCTTGAATCCTTGAAAACAAAGAACAAAGAAGAAAGAGGGAGAACAACAAGCAATAAGCTAGAAGGCTAGCCCCGGGTAATACTATTTTTATACTCTCCTGGCCACCACGAACCACGCCCACTGGATTGGACTCTCCATTTTCGGACTCGCTTTGAAGGCAATCGTAGTAAATACAGCTTTTGCACTAGGAAGTAATCACATTGCTCTCCATAAGGTCATTTGGTCATTCAAGCGTGTTGGTGACGTCAAAAAGATCGATTTTTGAGATATTTCCAGCTTCATTAAAAAGGGCTTTGATGAAATCCGTTCTATCTTTGTATGAGTACTGCGTGGGTGAAAAGTAAAGCTGTTTTTATGTTCATCATGTCTCCTGGGGCGGAATTAAAGCTTAAGTGCAAAGGTTTACTTTGTTGTATTTCTGTTCATGTAGCCTTTCTAAGAAACATTCATGGTCCCCATTAAAAACGACCCACCAGAGACTTTCCCACAAGGGAAATCAACTTTGTAAATGAAGTGATTAGATACTATAATACATAAAATGTTCAAGGTGGAGAAAGTGTATCTTAAAGTCGGGTGTTTCGAAGCCAGAACCCCTTTGTGAAAACCAAACGTTCCACCTTTTTAGGGTTGCTCAACTGCTACCAAACTCGTCTGGGAGGAGAAAAGCAAGCACTGAATTGAACATCGGCTGGCCACCGCAAGCCGTCGTAAGTGCCACATATGGATTCAAACTTCAGTACGATTTTGACTGAAAGCCGAATGTGTGGCTCGTCCTGAAAGTGATTCACCCGCAAGGTCGGTGTATAGGCACCAAGCCCGTTTAGGCAAGACACCGGCTTGTACGTCAGCTAGCTCCGCATGTCGTTTTGCAACATTGGCCGAGAAGCCAAAAATCTTCAAAACTCCGAAGAGTAGTATCCAGAAATCAAGGAGGAACCCCTCATGTGTCAGGGTGTATGTATTAAGAGCGAACAAAGACAAGGAATAAGTATGAACAATTCATTGTCAAAGGAATCTGGCCTGCTCAAATCAGCGGTGACCTCTAAACCTAAAGATGAAGATGCTAAAGAGTGAGAATTTAAAGTTTCGCTTGCGGTGCAAGTCTAGACTGAAAATAGTCTTGAATTTGATGCCCTCCTCGTTCATATCCGCCCCTGACTGATTTCCATAATTAAAAATTGTTGACGTTTTTTGACTTATCAATAAGAAGGTCAGGAATGTGTGCTATACAAATTTCGTTGTAATTAGATGCTTCAGTAGGTAGTGGAGAAATATATCGCCACCAATGGTAACATATTTCGTGTACTGTAAGTCAGTACGGTAGCCCTT